ATTTCTTTAATAAAATTTTAAGTATTTTTATTGGCAAAATTATATACAAAGTACTTTGAATAACAAAAACCTTTACAGTATGTATCTTGGTTTTGCATATTGATAAAAAAGTAAAGTTTATATTAACTACTAAGATCTTAATAGATTAATAAGAGAGGTTGTCTTGAAGTCAAAAGGTTAAAGTAATTTAATAAAATAATTGTACAGTCATATTATTCTTGTAGTATTCTTTTATAAAATGCTAATTTCTGTAATACACTATAGCTTATAATTAGAAATAAATCTTTAACTGCTAGATATAACTTAGATATTTCTGTTGGCAATAGTTTTAGTTTAGTAAAGTATTTGAAACTTATCTTGGCTACTTAAAATTTATAAGTTTAATAATAGCTAAATCTATAATAAAAACTGACTATATATATTTAATTTAAAACAATTTTTATAGTTGTTTTTTTATTGTAGTGTATAAAAATTTATAGTTAGAACAAAAAAAAAGTTCTTTTTATAAAATAATAAAAAAACAATAAATACAAACTTATTTGTATACCAATTATTCTAAAACTAATAACTTAATTATAAAAAACAGCTATAATATTAAAAGTTTAAATTAATTTGAATTTTTACTAATTTTGAAAATTTTTCCAACTGTTTTATAACTAGTATGTCTTAAGGGCTAAATGTAATTTGAACTTCTTAGCTTACCAAAACTAGAGTTGTTAACTTATATATAAATTTATTATAATTTACTAATTTTAAATTTACTGTAACTGATATAAATTACTTGTAAGTTATATGAGTTGATTGACAAATAATGTATGTTATATTATTATTTATATCAAATTAATTTAATGAAACTCTTTCAAACTTTGATCTAATACAAATTTTAATTTGACTCACAATATTTATATATAAATAGTATCAAAAAATAGCATGACTGTATTTAATATTCTTTATTATTATTATGTTATGTTAAAGAACTAATTTTGAAATAGATTTACAAAAATAGTTAAAGATAAGCAAGAAAGATTTAAATATAAAAAATGTAATAAATCTTAAGTCAAAAATGAATCATGAATGTTACAGCATTACAATTTATGTTTTTTAAATAAGATAAAAAAATTATCAACATTTACATCCAATACACAAATCAATAAAATTACTTAAAATGAACAAGATGAATTAGCAAATTTATTAGTACATAGAATTTATTTTAGTGGTGTTTCTTTTAATATTGTAGAAATTAATGATATTAAAGCTTTTATTAAAAAAGTATATTTATTTTTTAAATTATCTATATGATAATCTCTTTTAAAAATTCTTCTTTTTAAGAAGTATAATGATATTAATATTATTATTAGTTATTTGTTTAGTAAAACACAATATTTCTGTCTTATAATAGATAGTTGGTCTAAAATTTGTAAAGATTCAATTATTAATTATATGATTGCAATTCTTAAACCTGTTTTTTATAAATCTGTATATACCAAAGAAGATTAACATACAGTAGCAAATATTGCAAAAGAAATTAAAATAGTAATAAATGAACTTAATATTAACAAGTTCATTGTGCTAATTACAGATAATATATCAAACATGAAAGCTGCTTGACATATTCTCAAAAATAAATATCTAATAAAAATATTTTTAGAATATTGGGCTTATAAACTAAATCTTTGAATAAAAAACATTTTAAAATTAGACTAAACAAAAAAATCTTAGATAATTATAAAAATATTATTTATTATTTTCATTTATATTTAATACTCTTAACAATATTTTGTTAACTTCAAATTAAAAAATATAAACATTTTATTTCATTAGTATTAATAGTTAATGTATAATAAGAATTAGCATTTTATTGTTTGGATCATTTGTTATAAATAAAAAATATAATTCATTCTATATTAGTAAAGACAATATAAAAATTAATTATTATATTAAACTCCTTATTATGGATGATCAGTTTTGACAAGATCTAAAAATTTTTCATAATTTTTTAGAACCTTTTGTTTGTTTAATTAATGAACTTCAAAAAGATTTACTATTTTTATTAGTTATATTTTTCAAATTATAATAGTTAAAAATATTTATATACAATAATATTTGTATTCCAAATACAATTATTGTGAAAAGTATGTAACTTGTACAACATTGTTGAAATGATTTTTATATAACCCAGCTACTATGGTAGCATAAGGTTCCTATGAACTGAACTGAATTAAACTTTTATCAAGTTCAAGTTTAGTTTAAAAATTGAACTGAACTAAACTGAATATTTTTAAAAACTAAAGTTTAGTTCAGTTCAAATTTTAAACTTTTAAATTAGTTTAATTCAGTTCAGGTTCAGTTAAAAGTTTATGAACATGTTTAGTTTAATATATTTTTATATATATAACAAAATAATTTTAGAATACTAAATTAGAATTCATTAATAAAATTTTTAAAAATTGTAGTATTCTTCTAATTTTACTAATAAAATTATAAATAATGTTATAATTTTCAGAAATTTATTAATATATTTTAATTTTATGCTCCAAGTAAATTTGTTCTACATATAAAATTACATTAGGATGGCATATTTTATTTTACACTTAATAAATTTTAAAGAGAAGATGCTTAATTTTAAATTTTTATTAAAAATTTTTATTAAAAAATAAAATTAAACATCTTCTTTTTAAAATTTATTAAGCATAAAATAAAATATACTGTTCTAATGTAATTTTATATATAGAACAAATTTATTTAGAGCATAAAGTTAGAATACATTAATAAATTTCTGAGAACTATAGTATTATTTATAATTTTATTAGTAAAATTATAAAGAATACTATAATTCTTAGTAATTTATTAATGTATTCTAACTTTATATTCTAGATAAATTTATTCTACATATAAAATTACATTAAGGCAGTATATTTTATTTTACACTTAATAAATTTTAAAGAGAAGATGTTTAATTTTATTTTTTGATAAAAATTTTTATTAAAAATCCAAAATTAAACATCTTTTCTTTAAAATTTATTAAGTTAAAATAAAATATGCTATCCTAATGTAATTTTATATGTAGAACAAATTTACTTGGAGCATAAAGTTAGAATATATTAATAAATTTCTAAGAATTATAGCATTCTTTATAATTGTATTAGTAAAATTAGAAGAATATTCCAATTTTTAAAATTTTACTAATGAATTCTAACTTAGTATTCTAAAATTATTGTGTTATATATATAAAAATATATTGAACTGAACTTTTGTTATGTTCAAGTTCAGTTTAGTTCAATTTAAGTTTAGTTCAAGTTCAGTTTAAGTTCAAAATTAGAGAGTTCAGTTCAGTTCAGGTTTAATTAAATTTAACTGAACTTATTTGAACTGAACTGAAATTTAGGAACCCTATAGTAGCATATAAACCAGATCCTCAATATTGTGATGAGATTTTAGATCCAAACAAATGAGACTCAATAATTGAAAGTGAATTAATGCACCTTGCTGAACTAAAAAATCAAATTCAAGTTTTAGAAGAGTTTGCTAAATACATTGAAAAAAGTGGTGGATTTTTAGCAAATTATTTGTAAGATTCAATTAAAGAAAAACCATGCAATTGGTAAAATTAGCTTAAGACATGATATCCAGTATTGAGTGATATAGCATTAAAAGTACTTTCAATATCTGCAACTTCAGTAACTAGTGAATGAAACTGGTTAGTATTTAGTTTTATTCATACTAAATTACACAATTGTTTACTTAATCCACATGTAGAAAAAATTGTATACATATATTGGAATCTTTAGGCTTTATGTTCACTAAAATGACCACTTTCAGTAAATGAATTAAAACAAATAATTATTTGATCAGAAATGATTCTATTTTAGAATCAAATAAACTGGAATTAATAGCTGATGATAATATTAACTTAGAGTTAGACGAAATAGAATTAATGGAAGAAAATAATTTAGACTTTGATTCTTTTTTATATGAATATGATTTATCTGATATAAATGAGTAGAACATTAATTAGCACAATGTGATCAGGTTAAAAATTATTCATTGTAATGATAACAGTAATAATAGATTAGCTGAAATACAATGCACTGTACTTAATGCTGTAAATGTTAAACTTTAGATTTTACCAAAAAAAATAATTCAAGAACTGCCACACTCATATTCTTGCGCATTGATAAATATATCATTTAACATTAATTTGAATCTTGTAACTATTCAGTTATATAATAATAATAATTATTAAATAAATGCTATGTATTTGAAATATATCATTATCATTACGTTACTGGTTACGTTATAGAATACAGCAGTTCGAGATAATTATATTAGATCAAGTTAATGCTAATGCTGGCAAAAATTGTCAAATGATTCGGCTAGCTTTAAAGCTATATTGTAGCTTACAAACGGGCTGGTAAGTTACAGTAAATTACAGTGTAATTTACATGTAAAGTAAGTTGTCAGGTATGCTTTAATAACCCTAACCGAAACTAATTGACTGACAAGTTCATTTTACTGACAATTTATTTCACCGATAGTACATTTCACAGACAAAGTAATTCTGGTCATTGTTGTTAGGTCAGGCTAGGATCAGAGTCAAGGTTAGTATAATTTATGAAAAAAACTTGTCGATGAATTAATTATCAACGAAATAAACTTGTCGGTGTCAGTAAAGTGATTGTAAAATGATACGTACCTGTTGCAGGAAAATTTTGTATTTTTAAGTGTTTCCGGAAAACTTGCTGAAGATAGAACCTATTCTGCAAAAGATCCAGTTAAAGATTTAATGACAAGAGACATAAAAAATTAACTCCAAATAATTATCTCTAGCATTCAAAATATAGTAAACATATAAAACTTAGTCTATTATATATTTAATGATAAAATTTAACTGCAATATTTTCAGTAATAATGAAGTACCTAATTCTATTTTAAATTAATTAATCAATTGACCATACTTTGCTATCATTATTTGACTCTTGTACATTACTAAAGTTATCATTTTCATTTTTACAATTAGTTGACTTAATTTCAATCCATCCATTTTCAAACATTCCATTTGGAAAAGTTTCTTTAATTTTACATTCAACTTCAACAATTTTTAAAGTATATTCTCTCCACCATGTAGACCCATTTTTTCCAACCAAATGCAATTGAAAGGAGGGTAATCTGCCAAGATATCTATTAAATATTAGATATTAGATATTAGAATTATTAAATTTTATATAATGTTCAAATATTACTAAGTAATAATAAGCATACCTGAATAATTGACCAATTCCTACGCCTTTGTTCATAACCAAATCTACAATCTCTTTATTATAAATTAAAACCTCACTTACAGCATTACAAATTATTTTATTTTCACATATAAGATTGACTTCTCGATCAAATTTTTGTAAAATTGAATTACCATTTGTAGGTAATTTCTGATGATGAATAGGAACATTATCATTTTTTATAATTTGTACTTTTACAGATTTGTTAAACCATGAACTATTTTAATTAGTTAGAATTAATTAGTAACAAATATATATTAGTTTTATTTTGTTATTTTACCAAATTTTAAAATACTTAAAATTTTATATAAATTTACATACCTTAAAATCCTTTGCAAATTACCATTAGCAGTTAAACAAATCCTTTCTAAACCACTAAATTCATTTGGTAATAATGTACTGGTTTCTCTTAATAACATTACATCACCAAAATTATTTGGAATTAAATTTAATAAATTTCTATCAATATTTTCATTTTTCTTTCTAATATGAAAAGTATTCATTTTTGTAAATATATTTTAAACAGTATAATTAATTAAAATGAATTATATACTTACTTTCTAGATTATGAAGAATAATATAAATATTATTTTTATTACCTAATTTAATATACATATATATTAAGTATTTATAATTTCTTAATATGGGTTTGGGTCAAAATCTCGACAGACAGAATCCCGAAAGGTCATAATCCAGACAAAAAAACCCCGACAGTCAAAACTTCCGGAAATTAAAAATTCTGATGAAAAAAAATCATAGACTATAGTAAACCTATCTTAACCCTTATCCAAAGTGACCCAACTCTAAAGTTAATGGAATTATAAGAGTCTATTTCGCTTTAAGCATATCCCATACTTGGGATTTTTACCTAGAAATTGATTTTAATTGTCGGAATTACGACCTGTGGCATTTTGACCTGCACCCTCTTAATATATATATCAAGCTTAATTTTATACTTACAATAAAGATGATCTTGTAAACATAGACTTTAAATAACCTACTCTCTAGTTTATATAAAAGTAAATAATTAATTTTATAATATGTATAAACTCTTTTAATACTGATTTCTATACTTACTCTCTAATTTATTATAAAAATAAATAATATTTTTAATATGTTAATTTTAAAATTAATAAAAAAGGATATAAATTTATTATAAAAGGAATACTTACTTGCTAATTAATATAAGGATATATGGTTAATTTTGTACTAAAAGATTAATAATTAAGTATATAAATTACTAATTATATGATTAAAAAATCTCTAATAAGGCCATGCAAACTTAACTAATTGATTTTCAAAACCTGACCGGGTCAAAATTTGAAAACTTGTAAAAAAAAATTTATATGTTTTACAGCTATTATCATAATTTTTGAAGCACCTGCTCCTACCCGAAATCTTTTTGGTCATTCGGTAAATTACCTAACTCTCCGGAAATTTACCTAATGAGCAGTTGTTCCAGAAATTATGATAGCTGTAATAACCGGGTAGTTTTAAAAAAAAATTTTGTAAAATTTTTATATATGAAATTTTTAAAAAAAGCCAGCCGGCCGGATCTGTTTAAAAGTTTCATCAATATAATAAATTTGTATGGCCTAATAATAAACTTATACTTTACTTATTAGCATATAAATAAATTATAATTATTGAAAATAAATATTATGTAATAATAAAAATCTTGGCTCAATAATTTCTAGCTTTATATATTTCATTATTGTTCTAGTGCATTATCCTAAAACACACAATTTAAAAAACAATTAATAATTAATTTAATTAAAGACTTTTAGAAAATAAATTTATAATATGTATTAGTTAAATTAATTATTAGCTTTCTAAATCGTATATTTCAAAATAATACTTTGATAGATTATTTAGTATAAATATAATAAAAACTTTGTAGTCTTTAAATTATGTCTCTTGCGTATATGTTATATGTTGGTATGGAATTACTATAGATTTAGAATCAACTTAGGTTGAACAGAATTCTAAAAATGTTATTAAATTTAATAACAACTTAAGTTATTCTAAATTTAATACTGTAATCAATATATAATCAATTGACTTAATAATATTTAGGTTAAGTTATAAAATATTTAAATATAAAATTTTACATTCATTACAACCTTTTCCGGACACTTAGTAACAAATCAACTAATAAGCAATGTAAAACTTTTATGATTTTGATTTCTATATTAAGGTCCAGAAAATGCAGTAATCATGAATGCAAAAGATTGTTATTAAAAAAAATACATAATACATTTACCATATATTATCTCTAAACACAAACTTTATAATTCAACTTACTTGTGTTCATTAGGACCCGACAAGTTTTCAGAGTTGAATGATATTCATTCAATGCTCATAATCATTCGAGAAGCCTTCACTGGTAAAAAAAAATGTCAAATGTAATTGCAAAAATTCGTGTGACAAAAATCATAGTAAATGTAAAAAGAAATTTTCTTTGTGGTAATAATTGTCATCATTTGAATTCTTTTCAATTCGTAACGATTTAGATTTCTATAACAACCTATGTTTACTCTAAATATATTCTAAATCTACAATAATTCCATTCCGATATACGGTATATGAACTAAATGGGTTGTTGTTCAGCAAAAGCATGCTTAGAGTATATAAAAAATATATAGTCTAAGCATGGTTTTGCTAGGCAACAACCCAAATGAAACATAGAAATATTCTAAGTAAAAAAAAACAAGCGCCTTATTAACTTACTCTTTACTCATTTTAATTGATGTAAATAATTCTACCTACGTACGTACTGTGAATAAATTCGATACACTTGTTATATTGACTGCAGATAATCACCTAGATCAAAATTCCCTATTTTCATTGGTTTTCCTACCAGACACAGCATGATGCGAGTCCCCCATAACGCCTGTAGATCTTCCGCAAAAAATTAATCCCAGGGATGTTAAGTGGTGCGTCCAGTCCCGGTCCAGTCCCTAAAAAGTCTGGTCCAGGACTAGCGGTTACTATAAATTTTATAATACTAATACTTTTGTTACATACTTTACCATTATTGATCGACAAAGTCGACACGTAACTAATTTTAACTTAATTCATCTGTCATTGATTTCCCAATTAGCGAATTTTATTTAAAGTACCACAATTCAAGGTGTATTGTTTTTGATTTACATATTATCAAATATTATTTAATGTGTCAAAAATGACACTCTATTCATATCATGCGAGGGCTGGACGGTTTTGTACCAGTCCCTACTAAGGATGGCTCCGAAAGTAGGTAATTTCAGTACCTACCGAAATCGAAAGTCTACCGAAAGTACAGGGTTTGGTTTACCGAAATGTTCGAAAGTCGAAAGTCCTACAATTTCAAACATATCACGTGACTCTGACATCATTTTGATTTATCTTCCCCAGTATTGCCGTCAAAATTTTCACTTTCACGTGACCGCGTTTAAAAATCTTTAAATTCATTTAAGTTAGGGTTAGTGTTTATAACAGGGCTAAGTTTTAGATGAACAGTAAAATTACTCGAGGAATTTTTTTGTTAGAGCTCAAAAGGTGGTTTCTTATGCTAGTTTTTGAGGAATAAGCGATTTTTGAAAAGCGAACGTTTTGTTTTGATCTTCCTGATCGTGTAACGTTACATTAAAACGAAACACACTATTGGATGATCATCACGTGAAAGTGAAAATTTGATGGCGATCCTGGCGGAGAGTCTACGGACAGTTCTTACGGACAGTTAGGGACAGTGCGATTCACGTGATATTACTAAGACCACTAACCCTAACGCAAAACTTACGAAATTGATACACCTGCACTTATGTTGTTGATACACTTAGATGTACCCCAAAATTTCATTACTTTGTTGATAACAAAACATGTGATAATCACGTGCTATATGTAATACATGTTAATGTATAACTACGTAGTATAACGGTTAACTATATCGAATATCTGATATCTACTTACGTATGTATATCGGAGTATAAATCAAAAATAAAGTGAAACCTAAGTCAAAAAGTAAGAGTATCTAACTCTAAATAAATACAGATCTGCATCAAAAATCCCTTCGCAGGTTTCACCCCGCAATAAAATAATTACATAATATATACAATGCATATTTATGCAAACAAATAAATAATTAGATCAAGTTCTTATTTTTTTATTTAACAAAGATTAAAATGAAAGACAAATAAAATAAGAGCAAATAAAATAAAATTTATCTTTGAATTATGTGCTTTAATTTTTTAAAATGCTTGTAAACCAGATTATTTACAATAATGACAATTCGGTTTCAGTTCTTTTTGGACATGTAGCCGAATGGTATATTTTGCAACATCCACTTTTAAAAACTACTTGTTTAAAATCACAGAGCCATTTAAAACAACACAATTAATTGATGAAAAATTAATTGAGCTTGACTATGTAGATGGTGTAGTTAATTTGCAGAATGGATAGCTTGTGGTAAACAGAAATCAGCGAATCATATTGATGACATTCTAAAACTTACAGCTAAAGGTCAAGAATATGTTGAACAAATTCGAACCAGACTTAAAAAAGATAAACTATGCTGGTCATGGATTTTGTATTATGCTGGTGATGGAAAAACTTGTCAACATCAATGTGGCAGTATTGGAGAATGTGTGTTAAATTGTCCAAATTACAATTTAGCTAATAATTTAAAAAATAGAAATGATATGCATCATTGTTCAGTTCAGGTTCATTCTTTTTCGTGGTTATCATATCTTAATTCAAGTCATCAGCTTCGAATTAAAATTGAAGGAACACATTACCCTTCTAATATGTTAATTACTAAGACACCACAAGTTACAAGACTTAATTTAATGCATCAAGTTCGGGATCAAATTACTATTAGTCATCGTGCAGATCATCAATCAGCAAAAACTATTAAAGGAAAATTATTATATTCATTAAATGGTGCCAATGAAGAAGAATTAAGCAAAGCACTATTAAATACTAGAGAAATTTGTGATAGTAAAAAATTAAAAAGATTCATCATTTGTGAAGATAGAAGACTAAAGGATAATGCAGGGCTGTGGACAATCCTTCATTATTTGATTGAAGAAATTTTAAAACCTAAAGGCTATATCTTATACTATCAACAACCGGATTTATCTAAACCTGAAGGTTCTCAAAACATTACTATTAGTTAACAGTATCTGATGAGTTTTGGTTACGCAATGATTGAAATTTTGGGCAATACTGTTTTGGTGTGGATAGAAAATATGATCTTAATATTGACTGTGCTCCATTTTTAACTATAGTAGTCGAAAATAACGCAAGACATGGAACTCCATTGACATTTGATATGTTTATTAGATAGATATATTGTATAATTAAATAACTACTACTTAACTTATATTAATAATATAGGGTTGAGTAATAAGGAAAACAATTGTTCAATATGGTTAGCAATAAATGCCATTAAACAAAATATTCCCTGTAACGATCCTATGTGTGAGCATTCATGGTATTACAAAGATCTTCTAAATAATAAAGGATTTAAAAGAATTCGTAACTGCAGTATCAATTCGGTATGGGATCCATATGTGATGATTGACAAACACCAACCTACTAAACTTGGTGTAAAAGGACTTGTACGTAGAACAATACTTTGCTGGTTCCATATAATGCAGACATTTGGTAATAATTTAAAAGAATGAAATGTTTCACACTCATTACGGTCAGCATTTATTATTATTATGATTTTTTTTTTTAGTTTATTTTATTTTATTATTACGATTTTTTTTTACAATTAATAAATTATTCAAATTTAAATTTTTTAAGATATACAATTGCATTGGGGTTTAAAATTGTGGGCTGGTGCCATACTGAAGAAAAAGCATTTGAAATGACAAATTATTACAAGAATTTTTTTATTGCTCTTCCACTTACTCAAGAACAAAAAACCTTATTAACTAAGGATTTAGATAATAATTGGATGTGTGACGAATGGAGATTACAATTTATTGATGCTGGTCATCTTCCAATTAATAATCAAAAAAAATTAATGACTACCAATAATTTTACTGAAAGAATGAACTGTATGATTGAATCTCAATCATCTGGAAAACAAACAGTTGTAACATTCATTGAACGGTTATACAGAGTAAAATTAATAAGTAAAAATTTAAATAAACAAGGAACAGGCCAAATAACTTATGAAGCAGGATTGGTTACACTTTTTAATGCACAATTGATTGAACAGGTAAGTTAATACTATAATATATATTTGTATTAATCAATATATTAATACTATATAAATTGTCATAGCAAAATGAACTATCTAAAATAATCTTTGATATGAATCGACGTTTAAATCAAGGAAGGCTGTATTTTCTCTTAGGCTTGGTTGAACAATCCGATGATCCTAATTATTATTACATTAAAAAATGTCATGAATTAGAAATTATTGATTTATATTGCAATGAAGAACTAATTGAATTAGAAAAGGAAAATATTACTTATCTTCAACCAATGATAGAGCAATTAACTAATAATTTCAGCATTGCACCACGTTATGAATTCTATATTACAAATGCTGTTACAGGCGAATGCCCATAATGTTTGGATTATGTTTAGAATGGACCATTTCATGACGTCTGTAAGCATTGTCATGCCGCAAAAATTTTTTCAACAGCACAAGTAAATACCACGAATGTGATATATGAGACAAAGAATAAACTAGTCAATTTTTTTAAAAACAAAAAGCATGTTATACCTTCAGATCAGAAAAACAATACAATTTATCTCAAGTCTATAGATGAAGCTTACCAAGAAATCATTCACCTTTACAATCTTAAAGGTATTATTATTATTATTATTATTTTACAATTGATATGTTTTAATTAATTTAAGTAATATTATAGGTGTACAAATTTTTTATTCTTCAAAAAAATACTCAAATGTTTGCACTGATCCTTTTTGACCATTAGAGTTAAACAAAAAACAATCAATAAACAATGGGTCATCTCCAAAACTATTAGCAAAACCACACAAACCTAGCTGTATTCTTCGTTCAATCCAACTTCAAGATATGGATTATGAAAGCCTATCATCTTCAGTTCAAAAGAGAACAACAAGTATAAGAAAGACAAAACAAAAGATTAAAGTAATTATTCACTTAATTTTACTTATTTATGATTGAAATTTAATTTTATTTAATTTTCTTTGAATGTAGTGTCAACATAATGAAATGTCTTATCCAAGTTTCGAAACAACCTCAACTTCAACCTCACAAACTATTAATGAACACTTAGTAATTGTAACACCTGAACCACAAAATGTGACTCTTCAACAGTCATCTAACATGCATCCTATTGTTACTTCTCAATTGCAACCCATGATACTTGAAACTTACCAGTCTATTTCAACTACAAATCCTCAACTTATAGGTGACCCAGAAACACTAACATACAAATTAGACCTGGCATGTCAATATGTTTTGAATGTTATTAAGTGCTAAATATAGTCAGTTAAACATAATAATTGTGTTTAGTTCTTTTGCTGTAGTAAAACTGAGTTTATGTATAAAATACAATAAATGCAACATCATGTTTAATGAACAATTAAAATGCTATAAAAACAAGAAACTAATAATGATAATAATGTGATTGAACATTGCAATTAGCATTAATAACCTTAAAGAAGCAATTAATTATTTCTTTACATTATTTATTTCTGTTCTTTTTACTTTTTGTTACTCTTTTTTTCATAATATGCATGATAATAGTTATCAATGCTAATGTTATAGTATTGCAAGTTTATTTGTTGGATCACGTGATCACACATTTAGTTGGTACAGTAGTATCAACAAAGTAATGAAATTTTGGGGTACATCTAAGTGTATCAACAACGTAAGTGCAGGTGTATCAATTTCGTAAGTTTTGCAACCCTAACTGTCCCTAACTAACTATTCATGTGACTTGAACTGTCCCTAAGAACTGTCCGTAGATTGTCCGGATCCTGGGGTAGTTTTTTGATTTCAAAAAGTCACGTGACCACTGCACTTAACATCGACCAATGGAATTTTTAGAAATTCCATTGGTCGAACTTAAAGGTGTTATGTGACTTTTTTAAAATCAAAAAAGTCAAGACCAATCAAATCTCAAGATCGGGTATAACGTAACACGAATAGAAAAATTCAAAACAAACGTTCGTTTTGTCAAAAAACGCTTATAACCCAAAATTTGTCTATGAAACTGTCTTCTGCGCATTAATTAAAAGATTTCCTTGTAAAATCTTGCTAGAATAAATGATTTCAGAAACCAATCTAATGGCCAAATCCAAACCCTAACCTAAAAATAGAAATTTTACTTTAAACTTTTTTGGTGGCGATTCTACCTTTACTTTCGGTAGGATTTTCGACTTTCGTAAGACTTTCGATTTTCAGTAAGGCTTTCGACTTTCGGTAAGACTTACGATTTTCGGTATGACCTTCGACTTTCGGTATGACTTTCGGCACGCCAAAATACTTTTGGTGCCATCCTTAGTCCTAAAAAGTCTGGTCCATACCCGGTCCGAACTAGTTTCCTGTGGACCACTTAACATCCCTACTAACATGGCTTACACCTAGTGATGGGCAAATCGCAGATTTTTAAAAAACCCGCGCGGAATATATTAAAGTTTTTTAATTTTTCATGAATTATAAAAATATATATAAAGGTAATCAGTAGAAATATAATTTCTTGTTAAAATAATATATTTTAAATACATTTAGCATTTCAAAATAGTGTTTAAAAAATGACTTAATAATGGTTATATTTATTATAACAAGGAATAGTAAGTAAGAACTACCAACGGCAAAAAAAAATTTAATCAAGTATACGCATATATATATAGAATGATAAACAAATAAAAGTTCTACGTAGAAATGCTGACCGGGTAAAACAGCCACACAAAAAAGTTTCGAACATCACGTGGCAAATATATCGAGACTAAAAATTCATGTAAAAAATCATATTTCACCGATTTAAACCTTGCGATAATAAATAATACGTTTATTGAGTTATTCGAAATAAATAAAATGATTAATTTATTACTTATCGTTTAAATTTTTTTTGTTTGTATTTTTTTTGTTAAGCTACATGAATTTTTAGTGCTCGATATATTTGTTACGTGATGTTCGAAACTTTTTTGGGTGGCGATTGCACCCCAGTCTTAGAAATTGGCCCATTAATGTTAATCCAGGCCGGACGATATTTAATGTAGGCCAGATGATATGCTAATGCAGGCCAAATAATCTCATATTAAAAATCCCGCGCGGGATCCGAAAAAAACCGCGCGTGGCCCATCTTTACTTACACCTAACCCCAAGTATCCATTACACCTGATCTTTCGATCTAATTGGATAAAAATCACGAGGGAGAGAGCTACCACATTAGTTCCCATTAGAGTGCACTTATTTGTGCGAGCGTAGTTGGTGGTAAGGAAACTTCTATTGTTGAAATTTCTTTTTTTTGAATTCAATATGATCGTTTCACATGACAAATAAAGGCTTTAACGTTAAATCAACTTTGACCGGAGGGGCCAAAAATTGGTGCATTAAATTCAGACGGAACATATAATGATGGAAATGCTTAAATTTCTTTCCGAATTGATGGATTTATTGCGAAACACACAAATATGCAATTCTTTATTATAGACTATTCTTGTGTTTATTGCTTTTTTTACTATTTTAATTTTTTAGTTACTTGAAGTTATATTCTTAATTAAATTCTGTCTTTATATATCCTAATGGACTTTTTTGCACAACTTGATAGTTACTCTTTAAGCAAATACCTTATAAGTTAAATGCAGAGATATTGATACTGCCTTAACTAAAAGGTGCTAAATGTTGATATTGCCTTTTTGTTTTAAAAACTTATATATGTAATTTTTATATATCTGAAATCTTCTATAATATTACTATTATACATAGTACTTATACTTTACAATTAGGTCTCTTTTCAGAAAAATTTTTATCTAGATTTATATGTATATTTAAACTTATTCTATAAAACTTTGTATTTGATTATTTAGCTCTTTAAAGTTATAAAGACAAAATTGAGTTTTGTTTTCAGCCAATTTGAACTATTAAGCTTGACTGTAAAAACCTGAAAGCTTAACTACTAAACTATAAAACCCAGATCCAAATATTATTTTATATTATTTTGCAAAATGAACTTAATAAATATATATTAAATTTATTAACTATTTTTTGTTTAAACTTATTATGATATATTATTTAATATCAAAAATAATTTTTTACTTTAAAATTTAATTGTTTGTTAAATATTTATATTGCTAAATAAATAGCCTTATTATTAAAAAATTTTCAGAATATTACAACTAACTTAGATATAATAATTAAGTAAATTTGAATAAGTTAAAGTTTTTAAACAATATAATAATAAAGAAATTATTAAAAATTTTATAAATTTATTAGTATTTAATTAAAATTAACTAAAAAAAATAAAAAGTGTAACAACTTAGTATAGGAAATAAGTTTCATTTCTTTAAGTAAAGAGTTGTAAGTTCAAAACCTACTATAAACAAAAATTAAAAAAATTATAGCAATTGTTTTTTAGTAATTAGTTAAAATAAGATACTTATAATTATACTAATATTTATTAGTATAACTAGCAAGTTATAAAGTATATATATAATCTGAGTTATATGAAAAGATGCAAACTGGTATTAGATAATGAAACTTAAGATAAGTTTTTGTAACTGTATAAATTTATAAAACTAAAAAATAAAAACCTGTTTATTAAGGCCTAAATTAAAAAATAGTATAAAACTTTAATAATACAATTATAAAAGCTAAACTTAGAAAACAAATACCTTTATAAAAAAATTAAATAAACAAGAACCTTTAGATACAAGATATTATCAACTAGACTACTAGAATTAGATCAAAAAAAGAATATTATACTACTAAAAATTAATTACAATTCTATTAAACTATTCTAATTAAAAGTTTAAAAACAAAACAGAAGTATACTAAAGTACTAGAAATATTTTGTATAAAGTTAATACTAGGATTTGAATGAACTTTATAAAAAATAGTTTTATTAATAGAATTATAAAATAAATAAATTAGTTAATAAAAATTTTTTTAAGTTTATAATTAAATAATATATTTTGAAAAAATAATAACCTATATATAAGTTTAAAAAAGAACTAAGTTAAGTTTAAATAATTCTAAAAAAAGCAGTAACAGTTTAGTTTGGCATTAAAATAAAATATTAGTATTATACAAAATACAAAATAAAAATACTAGAAAGTTTAAATAAAACATTTATAAATAAAAATTAGATATAATATATAGTAAATAACTTAAAAACAAAATTCTTAAATAGGGCCAATTACCTAACTCTCTCTGTAGATTACTAAAACTAACTTTTCTCTAACAAATAATTCAACTTTTCTTAATATTTTACTAAACTAACAACTCTTAAACTTCTAATTAAACTTTTTTCTTATAACTTTTTATTCTAAAAACAATATAAATTTATTTATACTTAATCTTTCGATACAACAAACTTTACATTTTAATAAAATTATCTTTATTTATATTTTTTTTAAATTTCTTCAATTTATACTTAATTAAACTCTTTTACTTTCAAGTAAATTAAGTATACTAAATTTTCTACTTCTAGCTATACTAATTTTACCAAATTCTAATTATTATATTATGTACCAACTAACATTTTTTAAAAAAATACACTTTTCCAATTTTCATTGAATTTTACTAAACAACTTTATTCTCTTTTATTAAACAAAAATATTCAGCTCATTAAGATGATTATTTCAATATAAATTTCATTTTTAACAGATCAAAACTCATTAAGTTATTGATATTTTTCTTCAAACTTTTATCCAAACTTCTTTCTAAAATTCTATTAGTCAATTTTGGAAAATTTACAGGAGTGTCTCAGAATCTTACTTTTACCAATCTTGAAAATATCCAAATACCCAACATTTCTTTAAATTCCCTCAAAAGAACCTGGAAAATTTACTGGCCCTTTGGAAAATTCATTTCTAATTTCGAATAACTCAATTTTCTCACCCAATTCTTATTTTTTTCATCTGCTTTTTTTTATTACCTATATTATAAAACACTTTATACATACTATAAACTACTTAAAAAACCTTTTCTATATCTTTGTTCCAAGCTATTTACAACTTTAAACATCTTTCTATTATTATCACTTATAATTTTAAAATAAATCTACAAACTACAACTCAAAAGCATATTTTTTAGACTGGTTCAAAAGCTATCTTATTTTAGAAAACTCTTTTTTATTTATATTTATGATATCTGAAATTGAAACATTAGGTTTCTTAAAACCAATCCTCAAAGATTTCTATTTTGATTCAATTATTAATTTTATAACAATCGACAAACCAGTTGTAAAAAATAATTTTAGCTTATTAATTCAAACTATAGCAACCAAAAAACTTAAATTTATTATAAACACA